AAAAATTTTTTTAAAAGACTGTGAAAGTAGCAGTGAGGGGTGAACCAGGAGCTAGGTTTCAATGCACTAGAAATAGGGAGCTCTGGTAGCCTAGTGGCAAGAATCTATGCTGCAATCTTGAATGCACATGCTTCAAACCCACCTGCGGGTCAGCTGTGGCTTGGTTCTGACTCAGTGGTACACAACAACATTGTATACTTTAGGCACATGTGGTAGCTTAATAATAAAGAGTACAACGGTACACAGCTCAGAGGTTCAGGTTCACCACCTGCTCTGCACGAGAAAGATGGGCAGTTTCCTCCTGTGTAATGTACTGCTGCTGAAAATCTGACAGAGGGTCAGCTATGTGTCAGTTCTGACTTGATAGTACACAATAACGTGACATACTTTATATATGTTATTAGGGAGCACTGATGGCCTAGTGGTAAGAAGCTGTGTTGTTAAACCAAAGGCACTTAGTTCAAATCCACCAACTGCTTCATGGGAGAAAGATAAGCACTTTTTCTTCTATGCTATTTACAGCCTCTGAAAACCCGCTAGAGGGTCAGCTGTGAGTCGATTCCATCTTGATGGCACACAATAACACTACATATTTTCGGGCACTTTGGTGACCTAGTGGTAAGGAGCTGTGCTGCCAACCTGAAGGCACACAGTTTGAATCCACCAACTACTCCAAAGAAGAAAAATGGACAAAATCTTCCCCTGTGATTTACTGCCTCAAAAGCCCTGCTGGAGGATCTTCTAGGCATCAGTTCCGACTTCACTGTACTTAATACAACGACAATTGGTAGCATAATGGTAAGAGGTTGCACTGGCAATCAGAGGGTTGTACCACCCAGAGACTCACCCAGGTAGACAGAGAAAATTACTCTATTTCTGAGGAAAAAAGAAATAGGAATGAAGAGAAAGCTTGAATGAAGAGATAGCTTGAAAGAAGAGGCAGTTAGTAGAGGCCAAAGAAAGGCTCTTTGTTCAAATCCACCAGCCACTCCTCAGAGAAAGGTGAACAGTCTCCTCCTGTGAGATCTACAGCTTCTGAAAACCCAGCTCAATGGCACACAACAGCAACATTACAGAGTTTAGAGTCTCAGCTACTAAACTAAAAGGTTGGCCTTTCACAGCCACGCAAAGCACCTCAAAAGGAAGACCTGGTGATCCACTTGGGGCGGGGGGAAGCCAGTCATGATAACCTTGTGGAACACATGTTTATCCTGACACACAGGGGTCAACAATGAGTCATCAAGACAGCAACTGATGCCATCACTCCATGGCTGGACAGACAGACAGACACACACACACACACAGAGACTGAATGAGAGAAAGAATAAAAACGGCAAATACTGCCACTAATAATATATAGTAGTTAGGTTATTATAGATAATATATTAACAACGGTTTGCTGAAGTTTTGCTCTCATAGGACCTGTTAGGAATTATAGTCCTCACAGAGGAGGAAATAAGCTCAGAAATTCACAGCTAGAAAACGATGAGGATCATGATTGGAGCTCAGTTATGCCCAATTTTAGGGCCTGAACACATCTAGTCTGCTAACTGCCTTTTCTTGTAGGGATGGGAAGGGAACTCCGGTGACCTAGGGGGTAAGGCATTGCACTTTCAAGCCAAAGGCAGGCAGTTGAAATCCACTTCCTGCCACTTGAGGAAAAGATGGGCACAGAAATACTGTGCAATTTACAGCCTCTGAAAACCCACTGGAGAGTCAGGTGTAATTGATTCTGATTCTGTGGAACATAATTAACATGTTATTTTTAAGTGCCAATGAATCAAATACAAGTCAGCAACCCTATGAACCCTGTCCCATCCTGTGCCATCCTCAGAATCTCTGACACGTGCTAGCTCATTGCCGCAGTCATTGTGTCAATCTACCTGGTTGAGAGTCTTCTTCTCTTTTGCCTCCCCTCCACCTTCCTAAGAAAAGGAATAGCAACTCCTAGCAACATGCTCAAAGGATGTGAAGAAGCTTCATCATCTTTGCCTTCAAGGAGCACTCTGGTTGTATATTCGCCAAGACATATCTGTTTGTTCTTTTGGCAGCCCGTGAAATCTCTTACACCACAGTTCAAAGGCATCAATTCTTCTTCTAGTATCCTAGCTCTCAGACACACTGTTGTTGTTATGTGCTGTCAAGTTGCTTGTGACTCATAATGACCGTATGTATAAGAGCCCTAAATCCTGCTCTATACTGTGCCAACCTCACTGTCTTTGACACACCTACTCCCATTAACCCAATCACTGAATTGATCCATCTCATCGAGGGTCTTCCTCTCCTGCGCTGTTCCTCCACTCTCCCAAACATGATGTCCCTCTCCAAGGATCGGTCCCTTCTTGCAACATGCCAAAGTATGTCAGATGAATCTTCAGAATCCTTGCCTCCAAAGAATAGCCCAGTTTCACCCTCTCCAGGATGAACCTGTTTTGTTCTCCTAGCAGTCCATGGTATATTCAACACTCTTCCCCAGCACCACAGCTCAAAGGCATCAATTCTCTTTCTGTCATCCCTAGTCATTGTCCAGCTCTCTAATGCATAGCATGCAATTGTGAAGACTATGGCCCAGATCAGGCACACCTTAGTCTCCAGCCTGACATCATTGCTCTTCAGTACTCTGGAGAGGTCCCTGACAGCTGACTTTCCCAATGCAATTCGTCTCTTGATTTCCTGGCTGCTGGTACCAAGAGTGTTGATTGTGGAACCAAGTAAACAAACTGTGAACAATCTCAGTCTCTTCACCATCCATCATGATGCTGCCAATTGGCCTAGGGGTGAGAATCTTTTTTTTCTTGATGTTGAGCTTTAATCCATATTGAAGGGCTGCAGTCCTTGACCTTCTGCGCCAGGCGCTTCATGTCCTCCTCAGTTTCAGCAAGCAGGGTTTTGTCATCTGCATAATACAGATTGTTGATGAATCTTCCACTAATCCTGATGCCACATTCTTCCTCATACAGCCCAGAGTCCCGGATGATCTGTTCTGCATACAGATTGAAGGAAGTCCAATGAATACCACTATCATTCAAATATGTGCACCGACAACTAGAGCCAAAAAAGGATGAAAAAGATTTCTACCAAATTCTGCAGTCTGAAATAAATCAATCAAGCATGCAATCAAGATGAATTGATAATAATGGGTGATTGGAATGCAAAAGTTGGCAACAGGGAAGAAGGATCAGTACCTGGAAAACATGGGCTTGGTGACAGAAATGAAGAATAATATAATTCTGCACATTCAATGATTTATTCATTGCAAATACCTTTAATAAGAAACATAAACACAGGCTATACACATGGATTTCACCTGCTGAAGTGCATAGGAATCAAATAGTTTGTATCTGTGGAAAGAATCTCCGGAGAAGCTCCATATCAGCTGTGAAAACCAGACCAGGTGCTGATTGTGGAACAGGCCACCAACTATTCAAGTTCAAGGTGAAGAAAATGAAATCAAATCTACAGGAACCAAAATTTGACCTTATGTCTATGCCACTCAAATTACAAAACCATCTCAGGAACAGGTTTGAGTCCTTGAACACCAGTGAACGAAGAAATAATGAGCTGTGGGAGGATATTGATTGTGGGTCCAAGTAAGATAAAGTCATAGAGATGGGGAGGGGGGCGGGGAGATAAAGATTCCTTTCTACTTCAAGAGAACTTCAAACTTGTCATTTCTCTGTTCTAGATACAAAGTCTACAAACTTGTTAGAACTGGGTGTAAATCAGGAGTTTACAAGGATTATATGAGAAAGAGACTCTTCTCAAATTTGTTGCTTGAACTGCATCTAGCTTTGCTCATTTATTTGTAGGATCCCTGGAATGGGCCTGAGGGTGCTGTTACTTTGATCCCTGGCAGCACAGTGGTTATAGTGCTCACCTGCCCAGCACTAAATCCTGTGGTTTGAATCCATCGGCTGCTCCACAGGAGAAAATTGTAGCAGTTTGCATCCATCAAGATTTACCGTCTATAGGGCGGTTACTCGAGAGTTACTGTGAGTCGCGATTGACTCAATGGTAATTTGTTCTGTTTTGGCTTACGTTAGATTACCTGGTTTTAAAAAGGAGGGGATTTAGGACGCAGACAGTGGGTGGGGTGTCTGATCTTTGAACTCCCCCTTCATGCAGGGACCTTATCTCCACACCTCAATCACTCTCCGCCTGATTCCCTTTTCAGGGACAGAAAAAAACCCAAAAACCAAACCCAAACCCCAGAACCAAACAGGGAACGTAGGCGGAGTTGGTTTTCAGGTTTTTATTGTGGGTGCATTTCTGGTCTGGGCCGGGTAGGGTGGGGTAGGCCCTTCCCAGAGGCAGCAGAGGAGGCCAGGTGGGCCGGCTGGGCATGGATGGGGAGGGTGGGCAGCTTCACTGTCGGATCTTCAATTCCCGCGCCATCTGGCACAGGGCGCAGGGCAGACAAAAGGTGAGGGCGGCCCAATCGTGTCCAACGGAGCCCTACAGGGTGGAAGAGAGCCGTCAGAGGTCCTGCCAGGGCGCTCGGAGTCCGACTCCCAAACCCTCCTCACTCAGGCCCAGGAGTCCAGGGTCCAAGTCGCCTCCTCCCTCAGACCCGGGAGTCGCCAGCCCTTGCTCCCGCAGGCCCAGTCTGCGCGCACCTGGATGTGGTAGCGCTCACGCATGCCGGTTCGCAGGGAGTGCAGGCCTCCGGGCAGGTAGGGCGCGCAGCAGCACTCCCCGAAGTCGTCGGAGATGCGACAGGCCAGGCACAGGGGCGCGAAGGTGCCGCACAGACCTGGGGAGGGCACAGGAGTCAGGGCGCACGTCGGGTACTGGCCGGTGGTTCCGCCCCGGGGACAGGCGAGGTTGAGGAGTCCCAGGGACTAGAGCGAGTACTGCTGGGGAGGGAAGTTAGGGTCCTCGCGGGAGTTAGGGGTCTGGGAGGGCGATTAAAGACTGGAAATTAAGGGTTCGACGGGGAAGTTGGGAGCCAGACGGGAAAGTTAAGGGTGCAGGAGGAAAGTTGAGGGTGCGGGGTTGGACAGGGGGCGTGCAGTGTTGGAAGACGTGGTGAGGGTCCACGGAAGGAGTGAAGGTTCCAGAATGGGAAATCAGGGTTCCATCAGGGTGTCCGAAGGGCTGGAGGTGCCATGGTCTGGAGAGGGAGGGGACACTCACAGACGGGCATGTCGTTGCAGCAATCCGTGAGGCCCGTGTGCCAGTCGCTGAGCTGGGTCTGGTAGCAGCTGCTGGTGCACTGGGGCTGGCTGGTCACCGCGTAGGACATGGCTGCGGGGGCGGGGGGCCGGGGTCAGCGGGGAGCCTCCTGGCCCTGCACCCCTTACAGCCCTCCCTCTGCCGGGCATTCTGGGCGGGGCCGCTAGGCCGCCCACTTCGGGTACATCGCTGCGCCTCCCCTTTCCCCGTTGACACCCCGTTTTGCGTCTCTAGTGCTGGGGCCTCCAGCTTATCCAGCTGGGCTGGGGTGAGCGGCTCCTGCACGTCCGGGGAGAGTGGGTGCCGCCGCCTCCTCCACGTCTGGGTCTGGGGTGCTGGGATCCCACATTCCGAGGCCCTCTGGGGTGGAAGCGGATGCCGTCTGTCTTGGTCGCGGGGTGCCCAGGGGAGTGAGGGTGGCTGGTCCATCCAGCGATCCCACCTTTGCCTTTCACGTTGTCGTGCATCTCAAACTGCATCGTGCGGACCCTGAGCAGGTGGCGGTGGGGACTGAGGTGGCGGAGGCGGCAGAGAGGTGCGGAGTGTGTCCAAGGGACGCTGGCGACTGGGGGGAGGGACTGGGGGCTAAGGTGCTGGGCTCTTAAAGGGGCGGAGAGCTAGGGAGAAAGAGGCCGAGTCACCCGGAGAGACAAGGAATAGGGTACGGAGTGGGGGGGGGGGCGAGAAGCTCGCCCATCTCTTCACAGGTGCCCGACAGACCCAGAGAGACCCTCTCCTCATACCAGAGGCAAAACTGGGGCCAGCAGGAGATGGAGGCGCGCAGAGTCAGACAAAAGAGAGAGTGAGATCTGAGCCAGGTGTCCATAGACAGGCCAAACGTTCATGGCCTGGGACTCCACTGTAAGCCCATTTCACAGACGGAACACTGAGGCTCAGAGAGACGAAGAGAATTGCTGCACTTCTGATGGCCCAGGCCCAGGTGACCAGCAGCAGGGGCTGAGCCCCAAACTTACACACTCAACCCCGTACCACTTAGGCTGAGAAGGGGGACTAGAACAGGTAGGACATGGATAGACATCAAGACAGACAGAGATGCCCAGAGAAATAGGTAATCTGAAGACATGAAGGAGAGGAAGAGACATGAGAGGGGCAGATGGGGAGAGAATGGAGCAGAGATACCAGCCTTAGAGATCCTACCTTTAGGGCTGCGATGACAGTGATGATGACAGGTGTGGTGACACAGGCACTGGGTTGTCAGTCTTGGACCAGGAGCCGCTTATATATATTCAGGCCAGGCAGCAGTCTGGGGCGGGGCTCTGACGGAGGTGCGTAGGGAGCCAGCAGGTCCGGTGACCCTCTTCCCCTTTAACAGGGATTTCCCTTCCCTCTCCATCCCCCGTCTTCCCTCTATCTTCAACTTCCCCCTTGGGCCTCACCTCTCAAGACTGAGGAAATGGGGATGGTCCAAGGGGGTGGAGACAGAACAAGGAAGGTATGGGCAGAAAGACCCGTGAGATGATGGGAGAGGAGGGGGTGAGCAGGGTCAAAGGCAGAGATCAAAAGATGGCAAGATTTGGTAATAAGGGAAGATAGCAGAAAATAAGACTGAGAGATGAGAAGTGGGTAGAATGGACTTAGAGAAAAGAGAGAGGAGAGAGGCAGGAGGGAGGGAGAAAGGACCAGCAGAAGGGAGGTGCAGGAGAGATTGGACGTGTGGGGTGCCCCTTTGAGGATCGCCCCAGCATCTTTAGTGATATCCTCTATTGCCCTGGGAGATGTCCTTTTCCCTTTCCTTCATGGCCTGGAGGGCTATTGGGAACAGTGTGTTTTAGGGGGGTGTAACTCACCTTGGAACCAAGGTAAATAAACACATCTCACTCCACCTCCAAATTGAGAATGGAGAAAGCAGCCCAGGAACTGAGACAGTTCTGAAAAAAGAGGCTTCCTGGGACCCCTGAGTATTAACTGGGGGCTGGATTCCTAAGTCCTGGGGCAGGAGACCTGAGGGGGCAGTGTCTGGGGGCTCAGGGGCTCAGGTTTTGTTAGAGTAGGTTGTACCCCTACTTTACACATGGGATGGTGGACTTGGGTTCCCCACACAGGATTCTGGAGGTGAAGGAGTCTCCCCTTAGACAGGATTGGCGGGACTGGAGGTGACTCAGTGAAGGAAGTGGCACTAGAGCCGGGTGGGGTTCTCTGGACGGGTGTTACCCCAAAAATGCAGGAGGCACCAGAAAACTAGGGTGTCACCTGTACAAAAGATGGTGTTGTCACCTTGCTGGGAATGGAGAAGGGGTGATGGCAGGCAGATCACCCTGCTGGCCTGGGATCCCAGCTTCTCCCAGTCCCCCACCTCCACGAAGGACAGGACCTGGTCTCCAGTCACCACCAGATTGCTCACTCTCCTTGCTAAAGATGTGTGGGTACTGCTTGTTCTCCTGCCTGTGGGTCTCAGCCTTTGGTGTCTGGGGTCCATCTTTCCACCACTTAGATCCGAGCATGTCTGTTTCCCCATCCCTGAGTCCCTTTCTCTGTATCTTTGCCTCTCCAGCTGTAAATCTATTTCTATCTCTATCTCTGTTTCCTCATTTCTGCAAATCTGTCTCCAAACCTCTAAGTCTCTTTTTGTCTGTGTCTTCATCCTGGGGGTCTCTGTTTCCACCCCTCCATCTCTCTTCTCATCTCTGCATCATCCTCTCTCCTCAGCTCCAGGTCTGCCTTATGGAGGCAGCCCCAGACCCCCCACCAAGTCAACTTGTCTATGAGCTGGGTGTGACTCAGGGTCAGTCATCCCCAGGGACCCTCAGGCTTCCAGGATGACAGCTTGAGTTGTGCTCAAGTTTCCTCTCCCCTTCCTGACACAGCCTAGGGGCCCCCAGTTAAAAAAGGCAACTCATACAGGTGAGGAAATCGAGACTGGGGAAGCTGTGAGGTGGCCTGGTTGGGGGTCAGGGGAAGGCATCCACTAGGAAGAAGAGAGGCCTCTGGGAGGGTGGTGCCCACAGTCACCAGGCAACATGCTCCATCCCCCTCAAACAGGGTTGCCTGATAAAATCCAGGACACTGGTTACATTTGAATTTCAGATAAGCAGCAGATACTTTTTAGTATAGGTATGCTTCCAAATCCAGGGGAGCTCTGGTAACATAGTCCTAGCAGGTAGGACTCCAAGGCCACACCTGTACGGCAGTTGAATCCACCAGTTCAACTCTGATAGGTAATCTCCTCCCAGATTATTTACAGCCTTGGAGAATCCAAGCTATGAGTCAGTTCTGACTCCATGATAATGAGATATTGGTTTGTTTGGGGTTTCTCTTAGTTTATGCTCCAAAATACACTAAAAAGGAAGATAGGAGATGAATTGATAAAATCAGTTGTGGTGTTGGCGAGGTATATCTACTAGCCTGTGGACTGCAGAAGAATGAACAAATCAGTCTTAGAAGAAATACAACCAGGACATTCCTTAGAAGCAAGGGTGGTGGGACCAATTCCTCCAAAAAGACATGAGTCTGCTGAAGCAGAGGACCCTGACAATGAGGGAAACTGTCAGTGAGATGCAGTAAGCCAAGCCGAATTCCTACACATGATGAAGACGGTTTGGGATCAGACGCTGTTTCATTCTGTTACGTATTTGGCTTCATGATTGAAGTCAACCCAAAGGAACTTAATAAGATCTCAAATACTGCTTGAGACATGCTTATACCGAAAAGTGTTGTGCACACGCATGTTTACTGTTGCATCATTATTCACAATAGCAAAGGGATGGAAATAACTCAAGTGACCATCACTAAATGAATGGGTTGAAAAACTATGGTACATTCACACAATGACAATGGAAAATTATGCAGCATTGAAAAATAATGAGCTTGTAAAACATTCCATAACATAGGGGAACTTGGAGGACATTATGCTGATTGAAATATCTCAGTTACAAAAGGACAAATACTGCACAACACTGCTGTTACAAAATAGGAACAGACATGGGTCACACTGGGGAGAGAATGGGAAAAGAGTGGATAGATAATGAACACTGTATTAGATCAGATGAGGGGAAGCACCATCCCAAAGGAATATATGAATAGGTATTATATGCATGACAACAATCTGGAATAAGAGGTGCAATGTGGGGAGGGATCAGGGAGGAGGGAAGAAAATGTGCAACACTTTAAAATTTTTCTATGTTTCAAAAAAAGAAAATAAAATCTGAGAGAATCTCCCCGCCCTGGGCAAAAAGTGTTGTTCTTGTCACATGTGGTGGGTTGGAACTGACTCCTAGCTGGCCCTCTAGAGGTTTTCAGGCAATTTCCACTCTTTCTCCTGTGGAGCAGCTGGTGGATTTGAGGGCACATCTATTATTTTTTGAAAATCAAGTTGAATGGTGATTCCTTCATTATTTGCCGAAGTTGGCACCCCTGCTCTCAAACACACGGGAAGCCAAACTTTGATCCCAATCTTTTCCTGGAATTTAAATGTCCAGGTCCCCAGCCCTCCCTCCTCAGGCTCTGAGAATCTTGGTCCTTATTATCTCTTTCCTCAGGCAAGGAAGGCAAAGCTTCGTCTCTCACACTTGGGATGTACTGTTAGGAGAGGCTATTCCTTGGAAAGGGATTCCGTGCTTGGAAAGATGGAGGGTCAGCAAAAGAGAGGAAACCCTCCAGCGAGATAGATTGCAGCGAAGGGCTCAAGTGTATCAGAGATGATGGGATGGCACAGGACGGGACACGGCTCAGGTCTGTTGTGACTAGATGACACCTAACAACAACAACAACAACAATAAGAACAGGCTATGAAACAAAGCACCCCCCTCTTTCCCTCCCCTGACACTCATGAATCCAGCACCTTCTGCTCTACTCTCTCAGGATACAGGTCCCTGCCTCTTCCTTCCCTAGAACCCAGGAGTCCACGTCCTGCATGAGTCCAGTTGCCCAATGTGGGTTTCACAAGGTGGGTGGTGTCATCCGTGGCCCTGTTGAACTGGTTGGGCCGAGCGGACAGGTGAAGTGACCCTCGTTCCCATCCTCAGCTTCCTTGAAGACCAGGCCAGCAAGGCTGGGAGGGAACAAGAGGGGCAGGGAGGGAGCTCTTGGGTGTGTGGCCAGGTCTGGGTTTGGGTGTGCTGTGTCTGTGGGACGCCCTAGCTTCCAGTGTGTCTGAGTGTGAATCATCACAGTGTGTCTCTCGGTCCTGTTTTCCATGTCTGGAGGTGTGATGGGGATGTTCTTTCTATTTTTGGTGCTTTTATTGCCCTCCCATGATTCTTCACCCTGTGTACCTGTGTTGGGATGTTCTCAGGTGTGTGTTGCCAATCTGTTATTCTGATTGGGTTGAAGCAGTATTTATTTATTTGTGCTCTGGGTGAAGGTTTGTAGAGAAAATCCATTTTCCATTCAGCAGAACATGCACATTTGGCCTCATGCCATTGACTGCAATCCTCACCGCCTCACATTACTCTCTTGCCTCTGCTGTGTCTCCTGTTTCCATTTTTCTCAACTCTGTCCTTGGGCTGCACCTTTGGTTTCCAGTGGTTTGGATTGTTCTGAGGACA